AATTCCTCATATCAGTGAGATCATATGATATATGCCTTTCTCTGATTGACTTATTTCGCTCAGCATAATACCCTCCAGTTGCATCCATGTCGTTGCAAATGGCAAGATTTCATTCCTTTTGATGGCTGCATAATATTCCATTGTATGTATATACCACCTCTTTATCCATTCATCTGTCGATGGACATCTTTGCTCTTCCACAGTTTGGCTATTGTGGACATTGCTGCTATAAACATTGGGGTGCACATACCCCAAATATCAAGGGAAATTTTGAAATATTTTGAATTAAATGAAAAAGCAAATACAACTTATAAAAATTTGTGTGATTCAGTGAAAATGGTGTATAGAGGGAACTTTTTAGCAACAAATGCATATATTAGAAGAAGGATCTAAAACTGATAATTTGCAGCTTAGGAAACTAGGAAGAGTAATTTATAAAATTGAAATCAGGAAATCATAAAACAAATAATCCAGTTAAGAAATGGGTCAAAGACACGAATAGGCATTTTTCCAAAGAAGACATCCGGATGGCCAAAAGACACATGAAAAGATGCTCAACATCACTAATCATCAGGGAAATACAAATAAAAACTCAATGCAGTATCACCTCACACCTGTCAGAATGATTAAATTTAACAACACAGCAAACAACAGATGTTGGGAAGAATTCGGAGAAAAGGGAACTTACACTATTGGTGGGAAAGCAAACTGGTGTAGGCACTCTGGAAAACAGTATGGAGGTTCCTCAGAAAGTTAAAAACAGAACTACCCTACGACCCAGCAACTGTACTACTGGGTATTTACCCAAAGGATGTAACAATACAGATTGGAAGTGGGGCTCCTGGGTGGCTCAGTTGGTTGAGTGTCTGACTCTTGATTTCAGCTCGGGTCATGATCTCAGGGTTGTGCTCAGCAGGGAGGCTGCCTGGGATTCTCCCTCTCCCTCTGTCCCTCCCCCTGCTTGTGATTACTCTCTCTCTCTCAAATAAATAAATTAAAAAAAATACAGATTTGAAGGGGCACATGCACCCCAACGTTTATAGCAGCATTATCAACAATAGCCAAAGCCTAAATATCCAGTGGATAAAGAAGATGTGATATATATATATACATACACAATGGCATATTACTCAGCCATAAAAAATAATGGTATCTTGCTATTCGCAAAATGTGGATGGAGCTAGAGTGTATTCTGTTAAGCAAAATAAGTCAGAGAAAGACAAATACCATGTGATTTCACTCATATGTGGAATTTAAGAAACAAAACAGATGAGCATCGCATAGGGGACAAAGAGGGAGGCAAACTGTAAGAGACTCTTAACTATAGAGAACAAACAGGGTTGCTGGAGGGGAGGTGGGTGGGGAAATGGGTTAATTGGGTGATGTGTATTAAGGAGAGCACCTGTGATGAGTACTGGGTGTTATATGTAAGTGATAAATCACTAAATTCTACTCCTGAAACTAATATTACACTATATGTTAACTAACTGGAATTTAAAACCATGAAATTACAAAAAAATAAAGAAATCATAGGGAAAATCAAAATGAAAAGCTAGTTCTTTGAAAAGATTAATAAAATTGAAGACCTTCTAGACATATAAACCTAAAAGAAAGGAAAACACAAATTGCTAATTATCAGAAATAAAAGGGGGAATCTTTATTACTTATCCATGGCACTAAAAGGATAATAGAGAAATATTATGTACAGCTAGATGCCCACAAAGCTGATAATCTAAGTAGACCAATTCCTTCAAAGACACAATCTACCAAACTCACATGATAAATAGATAATCTAAATAAGTTTGTAACAAAGAAATTGTTTACAGGGGTGCCTGGTGGCTCAGTCGGTTAGGTGTCCAACTCTTAATTTCAGCTCAGGTCATGATCTCAGGGCTGATTCCTCAGAGAGTACTAAATTCACCTGACAACAAGCTCTTAAATAGGAAAGCTTCATAAAAGAAGCCTCTTGAACTATTAACGCACAGCTGATGATTTAAAGCCATATATCTCAGTAACAATACTAAAATGCCACAGGGGAGAAATAGAATACCTTTAGTTAAAAAATATTTTAATACTTTGATTTAAAACTGTGAATAAATATTTAACCTAAGAAAGCATATATATATATATATATATATATATATATACACATATATATATGTATGTATTTCATTCTTTCCTAGTAAAAGCCATGCAGGGGATAGTAGCTATGATGAATTTTGACAACAATATCTACAGAAAAGATCCATTTGTGTTTAAATGGAGAGATCTTTCATATACTGATGCAGTTGAGGAGAATAGAAGTTATTGCTCAGAGAAAAAAACAGCATGGTGACTTTCAGAATTACATTTCACTTACTCTTACTGCCATTCACTACTACTGTGGTCAGTGTGGGAATCAGAGCAACTGGAAATGAGATACACTATCAGTCAGCCTCTCCTACCCCGTGTCCCTGCTCTACACACAGCATACAAAATATTTTACTTACTTGAAACAGGCAGACAGGTTTGAGCAAATTAGAAGAAAAGGAAGGTACCTTCAGAGTCAGCACAGATTTTTGATCACTAGGCAAGAGTCACATACTCAGGTGAATTTTGGGAGCCATATAATCAGTGACATTCTTCTTCTTTTTTCTTTTCTTTCTTTTTTTTTTTTTTTTGTTCCAAAGAATTAAACATTATTGATATGTGACTCCACGGAAAGAAAACGAGTTGTGTTTAATTGTGTGTGGGTGGGAGGCATGCAATTTGCATATGATTTAAATAGATTCTGCCTCATGCTATGACACAGATCGTTGTACTGAAAGAGCTGTGTTTGTCTATTTCAAGGGAATGGCCAGCACTTCCTGTCTGTCAGCTCATCTGGACCCAAAGAAGGACACACGGCGAGAATCACTACTTCCCAGTACTTTCCAGCAAGCCTCGGAATGTGTACTGTTCGGTTCTGGTTCTACATGGTTGACCCCAGGAGTATGGGGTTATTAAAGGTACAAAAGGGAGGCGGGAAGTGTTTCACTGAAATATTCATAGCATGTGTTTAAACATTTTTTTTTTTTTTAAATCACAGAACACCAGTGTTGATTCCATTAATTTCTCATTTCTTTCTGGGACAGTGGGATTTTGGCCAGCAGTCTGTCATTCATCTTAATCTCATTCAAGATTTATCTCATTCACGGCTGCCACCTGAACTCAATTATGGTGTGTGCTATTTAAAAGATCATCTAGAGATAAAAGAGGATGGGCAGATTCCACATGCATCTTCTGCTAACAACTCAGATAGGGAAAATGCAGACATGAGATGGGAGGGATAATGATAAAAAGAATTTTCTTCCCCAAACAAGGTAAAGGCAAAGAAATTTAAGATTTTAAGCATCTATCAGTTTACCCCAAAAACAACTTACCTGCTCCATTTTTAACTAAGAATCTGCATCAAATGCAAATGTCTTTGAAGAAGCAGTTTGCTGCATTTTTACTACTTTTTGTTGTATGAAATATCAGTAAGCTTTTCAATCAGCCTGAAGCAATCTTGAAATCTTGATTTCTAATTGTAAGATTATATATCAGAACACAGTACCTGGTATTACTGCTTTGTAATTATACAACCACCTGTTGTTTGAATAAATACAGTTGGAATCTTTGACTTTGTCTCAAACATCATCCCTTGTAAACAATACAGTTGCTAAGTGATTCCTATCTTTCAGGCTGGGTATTGTAAGCTTCATATCTGCTGTTTTAATTCTACCATTCATCTCACGAGGTAGTATATTTTCCCCAATATTACAATTTAAAAACAGAGACTCAACGTGGCTTAGTAACTTTTCTATTATGAAATTAATGAAAAATCTGATTTCAAAAATCTGACATCGCTTACCCAGCATGGTTTCACAGGTGTTCTGCCGTCTGACAAAGAAGTCTAAGGAGAAGCATAGGGAACAGAGAGAAAGGAAAAAAGGGCCTTATCAATTCTAGCCAGTGATAGAAAAGAGAGCTCTTCAAGAAAAAATACAAACATGCAATGAAAGTAGAGAATTTGTGCTGATTCTCCATGCATGTCTGTTTTCCTAAAGGGAAGCCAGTAAAAACAACAGAGAAAGAGATTCATTTTTAACAGTTTAGCAACAAGTAAATGAAGATCGTGTGACAATTTTGGAATTTTTTTCATTGTTTTTCAGAACAATATATGAAAACTCAGTAGATTAGCCTATTACTTATGTTCCATTTTATCCAGGGTTATTTATAACCACTAACCTTAGAGAGACTCCACAATACATTATTTCTACTGATTTTTTTAAAATTTTACTTTATTATGTTATATTAATCACCATACATTACATCATTAGTTTTTGATGTAGTGTTCCATGATTCATTGTTTGCATATAACACCCAGTGCTCCATTCAATACATGCCTTCTTTAATACCCATCACCAGGCTACTGATGTTTTTAAACACAGATTCCTGCAGTTGAAGAAGACACAAGTTCCTGGTTGTTACTTATGGAAGAAAATACCAATGGAGAGGCCAAGAGACCTTTCAACAGAACACAAGTTGATTTTAGTCACTGTCACAAAATGTTGCTTCCTCAGTTCAAAAAGAGCATCCTTATATCTTTTAGCTACTCACCAGCTGGTTGGTCAGATTGAATATTTTTGCACCCCCCCCCCATTGGTATGTGACATCCTGAGACTGCTACTTCGGTCACCCATTGCTTTGAGCCATGTTTCTGGAAACATGTAAACTTTGAAAAGAAATGTTGGCCTCATGTCTTGATTTTTGATACCTTGCTTTTGGTGACTATTGTTTTTTTTCTAACCAGAAGGCAGCAAGTATGTGTAGCTATGCTTTTATGCTCCAGTCTTCAGAGAGTTCTACTGGGAAGAATAGTGCTAGAGAATTAGCCTGACATCCGCTTTTTGTAGAGGAATCACTTTCCCCCATTCCAAACTGTCTTGACAGGGTTGACTGTCACTGTAGGTTTCTTTTACCAACTCCACAGCTGACCCAAGTCATAGTCTTCTCCAATATTTGGTGCAGATTATAGGACGATTTGTCTTTCTTACAAATCATAAGGATATGGGCTAGATTTGGGCTATTGGAGGCCATCTTTCCCAACATGGGGAGGGATACAGTCTGAGAACGAAGCAAACACAGGAAGGACTCCAACTAAAGAAAGAAGGAGAAACAGAATAGTATTTGTTCTGTTTAAGTCCTGGATCCTACCTTGACTAAGCCAGTAAAATTCTCTTTTTGTTACTTGCTACTGAAAAGTCCTAACTTTTACAGAAACCTGAGAGAAACTGTTTTCATAATGTATCCTTATGTCACTGATGAACATAAGGGACAAGTCTCACTTTCTCAACTATTGGTCTGGAAAATCCTGTGTGTGTGTGTGTGTGTGTGTATGTGTATGTGGTTCAGGACCACATGGTGCATCATAGTTGTTCTAATCTGAAACTATTAAATTGATTACAAAAATCCTTTAGAAAAGATATGGCAAAATACCAATGGTGAAGTTTTATAGTAGAGGGCCTAGGAGGCCATAAAAATAGCAAGGCATTCCTAAGAGAGATTTCAAATTATAGTTTGTGGTAGAATGCTTTCTTGTCAGCACACATGTTAAGAAATTGTATTCAGTGCTATGCATCCCCAGCCCTTCTGTGCTTTGTTCTGTATCCCAGAGAACTACAATTCCCAGGCCCCTTTGCTCTCTGCTTTCCTGAATAGGTTTGGCCAGTACTTTCCACTGGCCAAAGACCTGAGAGCAGGAAGACTAGGCAAGACTTTCTTCTCCCCCTATCCCTTTCTCTCTCCCTCTCCTCATCCTCCCACTCTCCGCCTCCCTCTCTACCGCCTTCCCTCCATTTTTCCCTCCCTCTCCCCTCTCCCCCCTCTTCTGCTGAGTTTCTAACTGCATTTCATTTCTGACTCAGTTTTTTCCAGATAAGCCCTGCCTCCACCAAGTATGCCTGCCAAACTCCATCTTCCAGCAGCTCAGTTTCAGTTACTCCCTCCTTTTGGCTCTCTAGTTTTAGCAGTGAGACCATCTTCCTATACATAATGATTAATCTCTGGGATGCTTCATGATTTCCTTGGTGATTTCTCATCTCTTCCATAAACTTTGTAACCAGCGCTCTACATTAAAGTCTCTCTATTTGAAATACATTAGAGTAGTTTATATTTTCTAGCTTGGCCCAGTCTGATACAAGTACCCAGTCCAAAGAAAACACAAATCTTTTCAAGATAATAACTTGTAACACAATGAAAAATTTTGAGTGAACTCCAGTCAGTTTAAATTTGTCCTCCTTATATTAACTTATTAAAAACTTGCCCTTCAGTTGGGGAAGACAGAAAACAAATTTAAAAAAATGCAAATTCAAAAACCTCAACTTGTGATACAGTACTCTGGAGCAAATAAAACAGGTTTCTGTAATACATAGTTACTCCTGGTCTGCTGGGAGAGTTTTATTTTATACCGAATGGTAAGAAAGTCTTTGAGAAAGATGACATTTGAATTTAGGCTTAAAAAAAAAAAAAAGAAGAACATCTGGAATAAGAATGCTCTTAGAAGGCAAAACAAGCTAATGTAAAAGCTCAATGTATAAGATATTTGAAGGCCAGTGTAGCTGGAGCAAAATAAGTGAGAGAGAGAGAGAGGATGATGATGTTGAAGAAACAAGCAAGAGCCAGGTCATGTAGGTAGGGCCTTTTAGGGACACAAGGATATTAGCTTTTATTCTAAGAACCACAGAAAGTCATTGGAGAGGGTCTTAGTCATCTTGGGCTGCTATAACAGATTACTGTGGCTTAAGCAATGGAAATTTACTTCTCACAGTTGTAGAGACTGAGAAGTCCAAGTTTAAGGTACTGACCAATTTGGTTCCTGGTGTGGACCCTCTTCCTGGTTTGCAGATGGCTGCCTTTTCACTGTGTGCTCACTTACAGAAAGAGAGATCATCTCTCTCCTGTCTCTTCTTATAAACACACTCAAGCCATTCATGGGGCTCTACCCTCATGACCTAATTGCTTCCCAAATACCTCACCTCCAAAAACCAAAACATTGGGAATTGGAACTTTGGCATATGAATCCAGCTTGGGGGAACATGTTCAGTCAATAGCAGAGAGTATTGTGGAATAATATAATCTCATTTGAAAGTTTAAAAGATCTATCTGGCTGCTCTGTGGAAAGGAATGGGGACTGGCGAGTGGGAGGTGGCCAGAGGTCTGGCAGTAAAACAAGGAGGCAAGTTAGAGATGATTTCCAGGCATCTGGAGCATAGAATATGTAGCTTTGCTTAAAGTAGAGTCTAAGGATAAATTGGAAAGCAATTTCTACAAATAATGGATAGTTAGATCTTCACCTGGCATAAAAGACTATTTTCTAAATAAAACATGCTTTAATTTTATTAGTATATTAATGAAGGGCATCATATAAAGCTAAAGCAGACAAGACTTGTTCCGTCAATGAGATCAGGGTGAAAACCAATTATGATTTTCCTATTAATTTTTAGGATAAAAAGCCAAATGATTCAGATTTATCCCAGCCTGCAAAGTTGGCATAATAGGCTGCATGAAGAAGGCATGTGTTTTATAGGAACATGGAAGCCTGATGATAAAGGAATAATATTCAGAATAGTAAATGGATAATATTCAGAATAATAAAATGTTCACACAGGCATCAGTGTCCTTTGATTCAAAGGCTCAGGAAATAAAAGAATAATGCTAATACATACTTTATTTTCTAGGTCAGTTTTTTTTTCCCCCCTATCTTTCAATTACCTACCTACATATAAAATTAAAAGCACTCCTTAAAATGGTGCTGGTCACTTTTTGATCCACATTGCTAAAAGAGCCCTAAGTGAACCAAATAATTTCCCATGAGATTACTTAGTTCCATTAGTTCGGCTTCCTAGCTTCTGGCTTGTTTTGATATTTAGCCAACTCAGGTGAGTTATTTAATGTCTATGAAAAGAAGTAAAGTTTGTCACAGGAA